GCTTGGAGCGAATGAGCCCACCACAAAGCAAAAATAAGTACATTTCCAATCTCAAGTCGAGTCCAAGGAAGGAGGTTGGATTTGGGTTGGAGAGTCTCTCTGCTACCAATTGCAAGCAATTGCTCTCTCTCCTATCTCTCTCTAACTCTCTCCATCACGTCGTATTTCTCTCGATTGTAATTGTAATTGGACGATTACTATTGCTATTGTAATTCCAATGCTACATAAGAATATGATGCCAACCACCGTTACGGTTGAACTCCACCAAACGACCTGATGATTGCGCTTTATTAAAGTTGGTGAACTGTTTATCACACTTGGAATCAAATCTCATAATATTTAAAAATACTAACTTATTAACCGTTGTCTTTATAAAAAAAAAAAAAAAACTACCGTTACTGTTGCCACAGATTGCTTTCTTCCGCAAGTATGTAAGTCTGTTGACTCGCTTCTAGATCCACACAAAGGCAATGGTATGCCACAAAGGCCTGAATTATTCTCATATCTGGATGCTGTGAAAGTGGTCAGCTGACCTCCGGGGGGGATTGGACCAGTGAGGTTGTTGTTGGAAACATCAAGGTCACTGAGAAAAGTGATCGTCTCCAATGAACCTGGCAGATGGCCTTGAAGATGATTGTGAGAGAGATCTAAAACTCCAATAGCTTTCAAACCTCCAAAGCTGTCAGGAATATCTCCAGTTAACGAGTTGTGTCCCAAATTCAAGACTTGCAAGTAGCTCATTGTACCAAACTTCTCAGGAATGGTTCCAGACAAGGAGTTGTAAGAGAGATCAAGGTATATCATGCTACCACCACTAGAAAAAGTATAAACAGTCCAACCAGAATAAACTCTAGTGGATGAGCAAGAATGAACCATTGGGAGACTTTCAAGCCTCTCTGGTCGCATCCCTTCAAATTCAAGCAAACCTCCAGCACCCCTGCATGCTGTTCCACCCTCATTTCTTACAAACGCAAATTGCTTCCTGGAAACAACACCAGCCACGACTAGGCCAGTTTGGTTGGCAAGCTCAGGTGGTAGATTTCCGGATAGGGCATTGCTGTTTAAGTCAAGCCAAATGAGGCTCTGGCAATTACCTAGCTCTGGAGGGATCTGTCCAGTGAGTGAATTGTTACCCAATTGCAAGATAGCAAGTTTATGAAGATTTCCAAAACCAACAGGGATTTGTCCAGTAAGGCGGTTGCTGGAAAGTGACACCCATATCATATTAGTACAGTTGCCAATGGACTCTGGAATGGTTCCACTTATGAGATTGTTGTTGAGAATGAGGGTCTCCAAGTTTCTTCCATTAGAGCAAATGTCTTCTGGGATCTCACCAATGAGATTATTCGCCCACATAACCAAGTCTGAAATATTTGGTAAGGTCCAAATCTCTGAGGGAATAGGATCAATCAAGCTGTTGAAACTGAGATCAATTGTCCTTAGGTTCTTGCAGCTTCCAAGCTCCAACGGTACTGTTCCTGAGAGATAGTTGTTGGCTAAAAGAATCTTTTGCAAGGCTGAGGTCGAGGAAGAACAGAATCCTGGAGGGATAGTCCCTGTAAAGCCATTAGAACTGAGGTCGAGTACTTGAAGTTGAGTACAATTAGTGA